CAGTAATCACAGTACCCCCTGTACCCCAGAAACTTGAAGATACGACCGGGCTTTGCTAGCTGGGCGGTAACCCAGAGTTCCACTAAGAGCTAGAGGTACGCTTTACACCAACGTTGTTACTCCCGGTATCCCCAATACACACCGTGCCCAGCGGCTTAGACGTAATGGAACCCCTTCGGTTATACTTGTATGCTTTTTCCTGTCAGGTGTGTGTGGCCGACCTCAGCCGACGCATCAACAGCATCAGGAACGTGCGGTATCACCATCACTGTTGAATCAGAGAAGGGTTCATCTTTGAGTCTTGACAGTATTTCATCGAAACCGAGCGTCAAATTATCTCCAGAGCTTTTGAAACGGCTGCGAGTTGCGTCAGGTAAAAGTTATCAGCCTTGAATTTTGCTAAAAATCAATTCCAAGATCTCATTCATCGAGGTAGCTTTTTTCAAAATATATTTCCTTGTCTGATTTGTGATTTCATTTGTAAGTCAATTTTGCAGGGAAAATCGATTTATTCAGGCAACCTTTCGAGTCTCTGATGTGGGCTTAAAGTCCAGGAGGTTTTATGTCTTGTCTTGAGCACGTATTCAATAGTATCTTAAGTCAAAAGCAAATAACCGCAAAATGAGCTAAAAGCAGAACTCAGAACGTTACAGAGCGAAGATCAAGTTTCACCTTACAGCAAACAATTTATTACGAATCTTCCATTCAGGTATTCTGGCCCCCACCCTCCGCCCCAGCTTGCGGCAAGCCACACAGCCTGAAGCCATCGAGGAATTAGTGGTTCGGTGTGTGATTAACCATTTAGGACTCACTAAGACTGTTCATGGTCTGGAGCTTCTTCAGGCGACGGAGACTGATGGTGAGGAGTACAGGTACCTATGTAGCGTGATGCGGGAGGTCTACAATCGGCTGAATGGTCTGATCAGACAACTGCAGACCATGGCAGAGATGGAGCAGAAATGGGCTCACGAGATAGAAGATGTGCGCAGTGGAGTCTTACAGCCGAGTGCTGCCTTCTTCAATGACTTTCACCTGCAAGAGGTACAGTATCATGCTTGGTGCATCTTAGTTCTTTTAAACAACAAACATATGAAATACATATATATGAACTGCGGTTATGAAACGTATATGTGCACGATCCTTCGCAGTAAAGCACTATTTAAGCAA